CCTGCCTCCCCCCCCCCCCTTCAACCTGTCCAACGAATAAATAACAATTTCCCTCTCAATATTGTGAAAATAATAATAATGTTATTCTGCTGCAGGAATCGTTTCTGTTGGTCATCGGCGCGGCACTGTTCATCGCCGTCGGCTGTCTGGTGTTGACAGCCGTGGACAGCGTGCCCGGGAACCTGGTTGTCAACGCGCTCGTGCTGGGCACCCTGTCCATAGTGACGGGCATGGTGTTCGTGCTGGACACGTGTCTGTCGAACAGGCGGAACGACAAGGAGTCGCACCTGTTGCCGAAGAACACTCGGTACGGCGATATTGCGCGCACTAGGGCCGCCGTCGACGGCGCGGTGCACGCGAACGGGACGAACGGAGTGCACGCGAACGGGACGAACGGAGTGCACGCAAACGGGACGAACGGAGTGCACGCGAACGGGACGAACGGAGTGCACGTCAATGGGACGAACGGCATGCTGAAGCGGGAGACGGCGGTGGAGAACAAGCAGAAAAACGGCTTGCTGCGGACGGCCGCAAACGGCCGGACGGTGGAGACCAAGAACGAGAGCGTTCAGACGACGACAAGCAGGAACCGCGGGCGACCAGACGAAGACGCCGACGACGACGTCGACGGGGCGGCCACACTTCAGTATGGTCGCAGGTACTTGGACGACCGCGGGTTCGACGTGGGACACGGACACAGGCACGCCGAGTGGTACGACACGGACATGGACTTGCCCAAAATGAAGAAACTCGAGATCAACGTGCCAGCCGAGGAATCTCCGGATTACCGTCGCAGGTATAAAATATGGTGTACGCGTACTAACAGACGCGTTCTCAAGCCGAACGAAGGGGAATTCGCTATCCCCCCCCCCACATAACGAATGTATGAAATTACTCTAGTTTCCAACAAAATTAAAATGATCAAAACATTTAATTTATAGGTTCACCCCCTCTCCCTTGCAAACTATCTAGGAATGTCCCTGCCTACTTACTTGTAGGGGTGAATTGAAATTGATAACAAAAATGGGGTTTAAATTGCGCCTGTTTTTACAACGTCTTATTAATTAGTTATTGCATTGTACGAGTCAAACTGTCGATATTATAACCTCGCAAGATTACAAAACCTTTAAAGGGTTTTAGTAAGGCAGTTTTAGGAGATTTTAATGAATAAATAACAATAGGTAATTAAACAGTTCTTACAAGAAGTACCCTATGCAGTCATAAATAAAATATAACTACATTTTGGTTGGATTTATATAACTAAATCTCCGATCAATGAGTCTCTTTTTTTATTGATGAATTAGCTCCATTTTTTTTTCGTTATTGATGCAATCAAACAAAAAAATAAAATTAACAAGGTTTATAATTTAATTGTTTATGCAATTTTATAAAAAATGTTTTTAAAAATTATTTTTGGTTTTAGATTTGTAAACGTTAAGAGCAGTGTTAAACTACAATCCCCTAGCATTACGAGCACTGTGCACAATCAACAGGAAAGTCCAAAGGAGGAAAATGAGCATGAAGTGAAAAATGCTAGAGTACCGTATGTTTTTTCAGAAAAAAAGAGACCAACTAGACCTACCGATCTACCCTTGAAATCCCCCGTGGAGAGAGTGAATGATTCGTTACAAAAATCAGTGAAAAGTAGATTTTACTTTGGGGCGAACACGGAAGAGCCTAAATCGCCAAATGATCCAGGCTATGTGCTGCACACAGCGTCAAGATGGGAAGAACAACCTGCAGCAGCCGTGCCACAAAATGGATACAAAAACTTTAAAAGAAGTCAAGTATAATCCATGTAAATAAACTGTATTAATTTATAAACAAATTTCAATAATTTTGTAGACTAGACTAATATGTAATTCAAATTATAGTTTTAAAAATTTTCTTTCAGGATCTTTGGGAGAATTTTCTTCTTCAAGTACGTGTTGGGTTGGATCAAATGATTCCTTATCGTATTCTTTAGTACCCAAAATATTTGTACCTCTAATTCTGACAACGGTAGCTTTTTCGACTCCTAGCATCCTAGCATATTGAAAAGCTAAAAAAAAAAAATTATATCTATCATATCTCAAACAATGATGATAATATGATAAACATACCAGGTGAGAGCTTGGCTTCATCTTCTGGAATTAATCCTTCGGATTCCACCCAATCAAGGCGCCCTTGCTTCACTTGGTACAAGACAGAACCAAATGTCACCAAACTTATAAAGAAATATGCCTTTGAGAGTAATGCTCTTTTAGCCTCAGCTTCTTCAATACTCATTGGTTTCATGAATCTTCTGAAGAACCTGCGCACAAAATGGAATTTATCTGTAAAAATTAGACATAACATATTAGTAGATACATTATTAATAGATACTTAGAAAATTTAATTAAAATATTTTAAAATAACCGTCAAAGGTATTTTAAAAATTAGATTTCATACATTATGTAAATTAAAGGCAATATGGGGCAGCAAAATAATAAATATTACACAAAAAACTAATATAATATTTATTAGTTTATTGTCTATATTTAATGCAAATGCACAATTAAATTATTAAAACAATTTCTTAAATTTAAATTGTTCTTATTAAAATATACAACTAAAATAAAATATTTTTAATAAGATTAGTATTGACCGTTAAATATATAGTTGCTAGTTGTTTACTATAGTGTGTAGATAACTCAGTATTATTCGAGTAGTCTTTTAATATTTATGACATGTACACTGTAACTATACATTAAGTAGTTGAAATCAAACTATAATAATTTAAATTATAGCTCTTAGTTCTTAATAATAAGCTTTCCATTCAATTATTTGCTAAATTTCAATCTATGAAAAAATTATTGTAATCTATGATAAGTATTAATTACTTATTTGTGAATATTATAATAAATAATTAAGTAAGATTTATATTGAACGTATTATGTTTTTTATAAATTTATTATTAAACTACAATTTGTATTTCGAATATGAAAAAATATAAAAATAATTCTGATTTTCATGGACAAAAATTATTATGCTAGGTACACAAATATTCATGTGTGATAATACTGTAATATTATATTGTCTCAAAATAAATTATTTATAGAGCATAATATATTTGTAAAATGTTCAAAAATTTAATTTATAAATTTATTATTGTTAAACTTAATACTTAATTTGCCGTCATCATCAATATGAAAATTTCATTAACAGTTTTTGGTAGATGGATCAACAATTAGCTAAGTACTGTAATAATTTCTAAAGGGAGAAATAATTTCAAAAACCAAGCTGCCAAAACCTGGAATCGAACTCAATTCTCTTACTTCCTGGGTGATTGCTCTACCACTGAGCTACTAGATCACACAGATTTTTAAAAAATATACATTACCAAATATCTTAAAAAAGTATGTATCTAAATGAAATTTGATGAACACGGTACTAAATGTATTTGTACTAAATACTTTATAGCCACATATTGGTATGATAATTTAGTTTTCAATTTTTTTTTTATCAGCACCTAAGTACAGCGCCGTACTTAAATTGTTGGCCCTGGGTCAACCATAATTTTACGCCTCCCCCCCCCCACTAAAAAATAGATCCACTTTTTTATTTTTCTTAACACATTTTTAGTTATAATTCATCATGGTTGTCTATCTACAACCGTGATTATGTTAAAATAATATTAATTATATTCTATGCTAGCACTTCTCCGTTATCGTTGCACTGCTAAGTTCAGAAGGGTCTACAAATTCTTTCCAAAAAAAAAATATTTATTGATACAATACTACACCGGGTAACAGCGGTGCTCTACCGCCCCCTAAATACACCAATATTTGGCCACCTGGTGCAAATGTTCCCATTGCACCCCCTTAAATACGGCCCTGCCTAAGTAATATAAAAAGAAACTATGAAAATATTGCGATATGGCTAACAAAGATTTCAATCTATGTTTTTCCAATTACGTTACATGTTTTAGCAACTAAAAATAATTCATTGTAACCGTGTATGCATCCAGAAAATTGCTATATGTTAAAACTATTTTAATTAAATACTTGAATGTAGGTTTATATTTATAATAAATTACAGTAGGTACATCAAATAATTATACATGGTTACTTACATCCAAACATTTTGATGGACTTTGGTTCTACCTATTTGCCAAACCACATTTACAGTAATTAAATGACATAAATTGTAATATATTTTAAGAAGTTTCTACTAAAACGTAAAAGAAACAAAAGGTTTAAGTGTGGTTAACTCATTAACTGGCTAAGTGGACAATAGCTTACAAAAAAAACTAAAATACTTATTTTTCAAATTTTTAATAAGTATTTACTATTTAGTATTATCACTTATCAGCTATTGCCAGCTTATCTCATAAGCATATCATAAGCGCGGTTTAATATCTATGGTCCTGGTCCAGTTCGCTGATAACATAAATTGATAAGACATCACCGTGCAAAATGCAAATGCCAAATGGGACAGGTATCCAGACGGCAGACACTCAGTAGCCACTGGCAAGTATCTATGGTGTACGATGGAGATTGCGAGTGTCTGAATTACCGAGTGGGAAGGCCATTCGTCCCGGATTCCCCGGGTCGTTACCGGTTTAGGAATCCGTGTCCCGGCGTCCCGACAAAGGTTCTCGGGACACCGATTTGTACCGGTTTAGGACTTTTGCATAGTAAGGTCCCGGAAATTAAAATCGTTTTATAATTTTATCGTTATACTCACTCGGTTATCGATTTTATTTTGAACGAATCCTAATGACCTGAACGTAAATTATTTCGAGAACGATCGTCGGAATGTACGACAATCACAGTTATAATCAGTTTCTAATTTTAACCAACCTGCTGCCTTTAACCACATTAATTTTCGATCAGGAATTTTGAGTGCTATGATCACGAAAAATAATATTATTTATGTGCATTTAACAGAATGGATAGTTTATAGTCTGTACAGTAATTTGCTGACGATACAAGTAAGTATGCTAGTGCGAAATATTTTACATTGTTGACTTTTTATCCAGTTCGTCATTTGACGCAGTGACTATGCTGCCCAAAAGACTTGGTCAGTTTTAACACAAAATTGCACGACGATTTCCCATTATTATTAAAAATTTATTTGTTTTCATTTTTTACAAATTGTTGTGTCCCGGATTCCTTAAAATTAAATCTGGCCACCCTAGCCAACATATAATTGCTGCTGCATTGTATCCATCATCCATGGCCAACTACTGACAGCACCATGCATACTTTTAGAAGGAATTTGTTGCCAAATCTTCTGCAGTCACCAACAAATTTGAAAATGGCAAACTACACAGCTTTCAATGCTGTAGTTAAGATATTTTTCAGTACTGTCTCACCGATAGTGATGGTAATTGTGTCTATATTATATGAAAATTGTTTTATTCATGTAATAGGCATCAGTGCTAGACTTTAATACATAATACATTTTAGATAATTTTTTTATTTACTGTGATATGCAGAATGAGCTACTTAAAATGAGTCATGAAAACAATTCAATCAAAATTTATTTAATTGCTTTGGTGTCAGTGGGACATACTGACTTTTTATTCTATCAACCTATAAATCAAATGTGAAATTGAGTTCTTTAATTGATATATTTATTATTAATTTATGACTAGGAATACAAAACTTAATGTTAGTCTGCTGCCAGCTTACTTATTCCAGTAGTTTTGGAAAACAATATAATTAAAGTCCATGCCGATGTGATCTTTAACTTTGTAACCGTGAATATGGGTAATCAGCTACTTAACATCCATTGTATGATTTGATATTTTGCAAGTTATCTTCTTTATTTAAAAAATATTATTTACTTTAAAAATGTCATGGTATATTAAACCAATACATTTAATTTTCGTAGTCTATTCAATAGAATATGTTTTAATGTAAGCCAAATGGATGCCTATCAATGTGTTGTTAATTTTATGAAGATTAATTTGTTTCCAAAACTTGTACTACAAACAATGTTAACCGATATGAGATTACATTAAAAGGGATACATTATTGTCTCTGGGTACTGAAAACACAAGTGTTGTGTGATACCAGTTTCGTCATAACCAGATGAGCCATTTATTATTATCTTATGTTATAATATATTTGTATATTGTATATTATTTTCAATGTATGAATTATATAGGTCGCATAAACATAGTAAAATCTCTTATTTCATGAACTAGATATCCTTGTCGGTGGTGAATTCCTATGTGTAATTATTATAAAAAAATTTTTTTTTGCATTATTTATGAATAAATTATATTATATCATAATAAAAACTATACTGATTGTGTGTTATGTATGTAATGCAGGTAGTATTGTGCATGTAGTTTGTATGATATTTGGTGTGTTTTTTGTAAGACGTACCAAGACCACCACTTCATACAACAGTGATTTAGAAAAGTATAGTTTATTATAAAGATATAATATAATTTATTGCTAAATAACACGAGGAAAAGTTGTTTTATAATAATCACACAATAATAGTTTACGTATTATACTCATGACATGGATATCCTATAATAGTATACTGTATTTTTGTCAAAGTTTAAGATCTGGAAGAATTTCATTATTTGTTCATGAAATTAGTGATTCCACAATGTGGTGCAACAATTGTGTTTTAAGTTACATACTTACAGTTCAGTTTCAGTACCCATATACATTTTCAAATATGTACTTTGCTTACATTTTATAGTATTATGTTGAAAAATGAATATTATGAACCATCTACGGACCATACATCATAATGTGCATGCATTAAAATGTTTGAAAATGTCAATGTGCTTACCACTTTTGCCAGCTGACAAAATGGAATATAAACTTCAACTTATTAAATCCTTTGCTACTAATCATGATGTGCAAATTAATGATTTTTTAATTACTTATAAATGTAAATATTAGTAAAAATATTATTTACAACTAAGAATTATAAAAAAGTAGTATATTATATATTATTTGTATTCAAATATAATTGGTTTGTGTTTTTTTAGAAATTGGTTACAGAATATTGAAACAAACATTGTGTCAGTAAATGGGTTGCCAAAAAGAACAAACAATAAAGTGGAGAGTGTTCACAATTCATTAAGACATACATTTTCTGTTACACATCCAAATTTTTGGGTTTTTCTTAGTAAGTTTATGTTCCTTATATTGAAATGAATGGATAGGTTAGGTATTCATAATTCAGTTGATATAATGAATATATAGATATCACTCAATACAGTATTGCTAATTCCCCCTACACAAGCACAGCGAATCCAAATTACATGCAGAAAAAAATTATAAATTGGAAAGTCTAAATTGCACTTGGATTTCCACTGAAAGCTTTTGTTACATTACAATGAAATATATAATTTTATGGAACGTGACACTGTGAATATTAAATTTAAATATTGTAGTTTATAATTATTACATTATTCTAAAATAGGTATTAAACCAGAAAGTCCTTATGACATTTACGGTGCATGTTTCAATGCAGATATGTATGTCAAAAAGATACTTAAGGTAAAAAAAAAAGTTAAATTTATTGTACATTTTATTTCTCATTTAAGTAGTTCTTATGATTCTTCAAAAATTGTATTTGACAACGAAAACAATTTCGTGTTAAAAATTATGCTCGATTAACTATACAATTATTATAATTTCAGTTAATTTAACTATTTTTAATTGTATGCTCGCATATAACTTGAAAATGCTTCTTTTGAAAAACAAATAGTGCTTAACTGTTTAAATATATCTTTGAAATCTAGACCTCTTAGTTTGAATTTCAGTTGATCAATATGAAATGTTTTATGTCTATTAAATATATTTGTTCATAATATTATGTAAGAGTCAAATTTAAAACAAGTAATAGATCACAAAAGAGAAGTACATTAAGATATTTAATCTTTACAATTGGAAAAGTAAGATATAAAATATATTACTCTAAATGATTTATAATTAGTATTATACTAAGAGCATAGTTTTACTGAAATTTCCCTTCATGTTCTAGATTACTGGTAAAGAATTAACTAAATCGTCTAAATCTGTTAATCTTTTTCTTCAACTTGATGAGCCGGTTCTATCATTATGCAAAAAGTTGTTGTTGCTCTCATAATCGCCTGATAGAGTCATTGCATGTTCTTAAATTGCAAGTTGATGATATAAATCAAGTAAATTTAATTATGATTCTTATTGTTTTTAATTTTATTACTCAAATATGTAATATTATATATATTTTGATTCTAATACCGTTGACTAGATATTTCAAAAATATAATAAAGTATAGACAAGTATAAAGATGTCACAATATAAATATGTCAATATATAATGTCACATAAAAAAAATATTCTCATTTGATATCATAATATCTTACTAATGGAAGAAATAAGACTTTGTTCCTTTACCCCGTTGTATCCATATTTGAACAATTTTCAACCTTTCGGGTATATGTAAATATGTCATCTTCAGAGTTATTAAACTATTTAAAACCTTGGATTATAATGTCAAGTCTTAAGACAAGCAAATTGAAGCAATTCCAAATGCTATTAAAATAATAATAACATACACATTTTATAGTGTACCGACATGTAATTTATATTTAATTATTTTCATTGAATATGATTGTATATGTATTGAAACTAACAATATAGGTACAAATATATTATGAGGAAATATCATGAATCTATTATAGGCATTATAGAATAATAGCTTAAAATCTAAAAACAAAAAATATACTTACTTACCCAATGCAATCAAAATTAATACTTAAAATATTAATTATTAATTTCAGGCTCCACAGTAGGTATATTCAAAGAAAATATTTGTCTTGGAATTTTATAAACTAGTTTGTATAGTCGGTAGGTCTGGTAATTGTGATGCATTATGCACAATGCACTGTATCTATACCTTTATGTTAACTCTAAATATTAGCAATTACATTTATTTGTAATAACATTTTTATTTAATAGTTCATGAAAAAATATGCTTGAACTCCTAATAGTTAAACCCCATTTTAATCAATAAACAAATAAAAAATTAAAATAATAGGTGCTTTATATATTGTTGTAATTAAAATTTAAAATTATTTAAAATTTTAAAATTTTTGTTATTGTTATATCAGTATATCACATTTCATTATCTCGATGAACAAACAGCAAACATGAAACTCTGTCATAAAAATGTGTATTATTTTATGTATCTTAGGTTTTAATCATTTTGACGTAGTATAAATTATAATATAGACCGTGGCGTTTGTCGAAATATTTGTAAAGACGGGCAATCGATTAAGGATTCTAAAATTTCAGTTAGCAAAGCATACATGAACAAGAAACATAGTGCGATTTTTCATAATAAATCACAATATATTCAGACTTTAGTTCAGTTTAGGTATTTTATTTGTTCCGCAGTGCACACACAATATCACGGATTCCGCCTAGACCCGAAAAAGTCGATGTTCAAGGTAACTAAGTTTGTCTTCATACTATTTTGGGGCTTAAATTTACTTTTTATACTTCAAATAAGTATTTAATTTCATGAAAAATATGACATACATAAATACAAAAATAGACATACATTTCGGTTTAATTTAGAAATATCCGTTATAACTGACAAGCCATAAGACACAATCTTAATTCATAACTAAAACATTTTCTAAAATCCAAAGTTAGAAGTTGCCGGACACTATTCATTTAGTGTAATATACATTTCATTGTTGTATTGAGTAATTAAATTATATTATATTACAGACTACAGTTGTACCTAAAAAAAAATGTTCACCGAGTTTTAAACTCTCTATTCCAAACAGTAACCACACCTAACTCTCGCTTCTGAAAAATATACTTTAATACTCTTATAGTTATACTTATATCTTTATATAAATTGTGTAATATATACACTCAGTCCTTCAAATATTCTCCAAATTGTACAAGTTATTCAAATCTAGGTATAAACGAGTTACAGAGGTTAAAGTTAAGTCAATTTTAACTTTTTAACTTTTAGATTCTGAGCGGAGCTATGAATGTATTGATTTTAAAATGTATTTTTTATAATATTTTTTGGGTTTATCATCACGTTTTGAGAAAGTAAAAATGCTTCGATTTTCTTCAACAACATCTTTTTTGGTAGTAAAGTGAAACTAGTTGGTGTTTTGAGTGGTCAAAAAATTCTCTATAGTTTTCAAAAACGGCAGGCAAAACAAACAAAAAATTAAGGTAAAACGGGAATTTTTACTCAAAACCAGTTTTCGAATAAATAGATTTTGGTTTTTAGTGTAACTCCAAAAAAAAAAACCGCGTATACATAACATTTTCACTGAATATTCGTGTTAGCATTTTCTATACACCATACAATTTTCAAAATATTTTGATTTGTGTTGAACCATTTATAGGCTTTTGAAATTTTTGGTTACTATATGTTTTTTTTAAATCATGTCGATAAAAAAATTTTTGCACTGTCAAAAAACTTATAACTATAATATAAGGTTCCTCGTAAGTTGTTGCTAAATCAAATTAAAAAAAAAAAAGGAACGTAAATTCACAATAATTTAAATGAGCGTTTAAACTTAGAATTTTGTTAAAATTCGTAAAAATCACGAAAATTAGCAAATTATATTTAATTAGAAATTCATAAAAAAAATTTTTTTACATCTAAGATTTAAAAATTTAATACAGGATTCCTTATAAGCTTATCTACTTTTATCAAATGAGAAATTTCTACCGGAGAGTCATTTAAATTTTTATCAACGTTTTAAGTTGAAATTTTTACAGCATTGGATATTCACTCGACATAATTCAAGTGTAAGGTACACTTACCTAACAAATCAGGTTAACGGTAATACAATTGATAATAAATATTTAAAATGATTATCACGAATTCACGATCTCTGCAATGAAGCCAATTCATAGCGTAGCAATAACATTTAAAAAACTCAGGAGACTGGAGAGTTTACACATTTACTTCAGGTAAACATAAAGTTGACCCGGGAGAGCTCACCATCGGAAGAGTTTACTAGTTTTAAAAATCAGGAGAGTTTATCACTGCCCATTGATTTACTGAACAGTCTGAACCAGTTCATTTAACTGAAAGATGAATCACTGAATCAGTTAACCAAAGTATACGTGCCCCACATCTAGTCTACTCAACAATGTATTTCTTTAGTGCATACCTCTTAATGTTATATTTTGTTTATTTAATGTATAATCCAATGTATTTTTTTTGCTTGTATTGCTTGATGACAAACCGAAAAATACATATATTTATATTTTTAATTTCAGCTAGATATATAATTTTTTTTTAATATACGTATGAAATCACAGTGTTATAATAATTTATACAATTCTTATGTGTCTATTTCGTGTATCTAATGTTCCGTATATATAAAATATACGTAGATTTTAACAAGTAAATGCAATTTTTAACTATTATATAGTGAATAAATTCAAAAAAATTTTAACTGATATTAATGTATGTATATTTTTGAAACTGCCTTTAAAACAAATAATATTACTAATAATTGTTGTTGAACATAAAATAATTAAAAGCATTAAACTGTCATCAACATTAATTGTTGGATCTTAATGTTATTGGAAATGTATATCACTTGGATCATGTGTTTTTATAAAAGCATCATAATATTGTCCTTTGGTATATAAAGGAGTACAAATCGCCACAAATCCCTATTGTCAATAGTTCATATCAATTATAACAATTACATTACAAACCTAAATTAACTTGGTTTTAGACAGTCGTCTTATGTTTTATTCATCTTAGTTTTCATACGACTTATGTGACTTATTATTTTTGGTAATTTAACAACTTTTTTAGCATTAATTAATTCAAATCGGATATTATGTATTTTATGTTAAGATGTGATTTGGCTATTGTCTTACTACGTTGGTCAGTTTAGGGATAAGTTTATTTTTGTACATTATCTTTGTTTGTATCTATTTTATACTCAAGTCCCAATAATAAGCGGAAAACGGATTACATAGTCTGAATAGGTCCTTGATGACAGCCACCGCTCGTTGACTTATTGTCTTATTCGTCTCATGAATTCGGTCAGTGACCATTATAATTATTATAAAGTTAAATATGAATGTTGGTGGCTCGTTTTGCTAATAAGGTAATCGTGGCGCCCTCAAGTGCAAATACTGACAACTATCATGTTCTAGGTATCTCATTGTACGTCCACTAGGTCACGCCCGAGTTGCCGATTACAGTGTATTATTTTAACGAATTTCTAACGTTTAATAAAAGTTACTACATTGGTTTTTTTTGTTAATAGTTATAACATTTTATACGCCTATAAGATGTGCAATATGACAAAATCTCAGGGTTTAGAAATGTTCTTATTATATTAAAAATAGATTGAAAAACAATAATATTTTATTTGTTTATTTATTTTATCTTTGTTTAAAAATTATTATTGGTTTTTACAATTACTGGGTTAGGAGGTATTTGGGAAAAAAAATTATGGGAAATATTATACAAGACCAAGAGAAAATAAATAATATACTAGTGTGGCTCAAAGAAAGATAATACGGGGGGTATGATATTATATTATTTTTGTTGACACGATAATGTATTTTAGATATGGACATGGATATTAAAGGAATTAAAAGCTAGGAGACAATAGGTGGGCGCGTTGAGCTGATAATTGAGGGCAGTTGAAGAAAAAGTGGGTAATGTCAAAAACATGGGGAGTATTTAAGGAAAATGTGTTTATAGAACAATAAATACTTCAATATTTGTTAGACCTTGATTGTTTGTGTTAACCGAAAGCTCTTATTTTATTGTTAAATTCAATTAGAATCAATTGTTGATTATAACAGTAATTTGTTGCTTAAAAAGTATCATTATAACAATTAACTAGTATACCGTAGAAATAATACTACGTACCTACTTAAATGTTATAATAATAATATTTTAATATTATCATTGCAAATGTCTAACCTTTATTAGGTAGATATAAATGATCAAATTATGTGATGGCAACCATTAATCCTAGATACGACCAATACTATTAGGTATTAGTTATATCTATAAACAACACTTAAATTAACTTATGGATATTAATAATTATTTATCACAGAAATTGTACTGCGGGTTGTGTTATTTTATATATTGTTGTACGCAAATAAGTAGAATGATTTTAACTTCAGTCCAGTGGAAGTAACTTCAGTATGTCATCATGTCGACCTAAATTCAACTTTAGCAAATACATAATATTGTTAAGTA